CAGTAGATACATTTCTATAGCAAAGGTAAGTATGCATATGGATGTCTAGTATTTAACTATGGACATTGTTTACTATACTTTATTTGTAAGTTTCAATATTAGTATTTCATAATATTCAACAATAAAGACAATACTGTTATATAAGGTAGGTACTCATGCGTGCATTAAGTAATACATGATAATCAATAGTTTGTTAGTAATCAAAGGTAGGTATGAATATCAATTATATCATGATAGTCAACAATAAAGGCACAGTCTATTTTAATTTCGTAGGTAAGTATACTTTTAATAGTAGACTAACAATGCTTAGTAATCATATCTATGAATTTGGCATTTATTTCACATCTGATATGTCAAAGTCGTTGAACAACATGGAAATTAACCATGTGGGATAGAGACAGGTGCCAGTTTGATATCAAATGTTTCAATTTTTTGCTGAAACGGCAATGCTAAGTCTATCAAAAGAATTAAGGTAGGTAGGGTATGGTATCAGATAATTCATTGATTTTCAAATAATAAAGGCACTGCCTGTATGCTAAATAAATGTAGAATTTTGGTGTCAGATTTTTCATCTTTGCCTAAACATAGATACAAACTATGGTAGAAAAGGTAGGTAATAAAATTACATAACAAATGTTTTAATGTGGTTGGAGTGTTTAGGAACTGGCATTATGGATTCACCGCAATACTTTATTATGTCCTCCTCGCTGGGGGTGTAGCCTAGGAAGTCATAAGGGAGTTAAAATTCACTTGACCTTGCCAAATTCGTCTTTTGAGACAGGATTAAGTCTTACACATACCTTACCATCTATGGTCCAACACTGACTAATGATTTAGATTAGTAGGCCTTTCTTGTAAGACTATAGATATATGATCTATATTTTGTCAAATCTTCATTCATGTAGACATTTTCCGGTAGGTTCTTGTGTTGCTTCATGTCACTAAATATCTTTCTCTGACTTTTATAGCTGTTAAATCTAAGAATTATTTGTCTTGGTCCTGTCTCTGGTTTAACAACTCTATGGCAGTTCTGCACATCACTGGAAATAATATTTGGGCATACAATCTGCAAAACATCAAGTGACTTCTTTTCAATATCTTCTTTATTTTGTTCTTCGACTCCATTTATTCTGACAAAATTCTTTCTGCTATACTGTTCCAACTCATCTGATCTCATCTGTATTTTTTTGTTCAGGTAGTTTGTAACTCTAGTCAGCTCTATAAACAATTCACTTCTTCCTTCAGTGGAGTCACAAATTTTTACTGTCATTTACTATCTCACTTATCATATTTCTTAAGAAATTTTGAGCAGGAGCCTGCCTGAAAGAGTCTGCTACCTTCAAAGCAATTGTACTTATAGTGTCTGCTAACAGGGTTTTATCAATGTCTTTGATTGCCTCAGGTGATTGCCTCAGGGAAGTGTAGCAGGTCCTCAAAATTGTCTTCTTGTTCAGTAATGCACTCTGAATCAAATAATTCTCTAGCAGTTACCGGGGCAGGGGGTGTGATGGTACTGATGGGTAACTTGCTTTTGATAACATTGATTTTATGTCCTGTTGGATTACTCTTTGTTTCTATAGTGTCTCATTTTTGTTTGCAGCCATTAGCTGCATCTCTATTGGGGATCTTGTAGGGGGTCTTTTTCTGGTAGTTACTGGTGATTTCATCATAGTTTTGTTTATACAGATCACTAGATAAATTCAGTCAGAAGAGAGATGTCGTTGGCTATACCTGTAGTCGTATGAGACAGGAAAATCAATATGGCGCCCTTACCGATATGTAAACAAAGTTCGTCTTGAACTTAGAAAATAGCAATCCTGATTATAATCACGCATCAAAGGTACATTATCAGTGTTCCAAATATTATTTACCATTTGTCTATACACAGGTTAGCCTTAAAGTATCGTTAAAATCACTATTTTTTCATTTATTTTCCTCTGAGCTCCAAAATTTTCGACAGCTCACTCAAACATATCGGTCACAAAATACATGTAAAACGCACAAGACCAATGGATTGTTTCAAGTTTGGATTGAGTTAATGTTGAATTGTCTTTAGGCGTTTTTACGAGAAAACAAATCGGTTTCGATTGCCTATCTCGTTTTGTACAAAGACATAGGTCTCGAGTTGGTATTCGAATCGGTTCTCGTAAACGCGATGAGTTGCCTCGCAAGATGGCTGGAGACTGAAGAATTGAGGAACAATGTTAAAAAAATTCACTTTTCTTTATTATGTTCTTGACGACACCGCCCAAAAATAAAAACGAAAAAATGTACCAGTTGACTGTCCCCAAATGCCCCGTATTTTATTAGGAATGTCCATATATTCATTTTGAAATTCAAAAGAAAATGATCTTACGTCGGGCACGTCGTGTCCCTTGTTGGGGACGCCATCTTGGAAATCGAATCGTCAATCTGGCAGACGAGCAAGTTGGAAGATTTGCATAATCGATTTGGCAAATCGTCGTGGTAAATACGACAATTAGGTGAAACCGATTAGGCTAATTTTTGCCGTAAATATGTTTAGAAAGGAAATGCAAATCGATTAGCCCTAATCGGTTTCTCGTAAAAACGCCTTTGATGCAGGACGGAGGGCCTGACAAGGACAGCTGTCTAGTCGTTCGTATGGGACGAAAGACCGAGGTCCCGTGTACACAATGGTGTCCACGTAAAAGATCCCTTGACAGTTGGAATTCGATAGAAGAATAGGCCGTAGTGCCGCTGTCCGGGCAAAATTTCCCTCATAGCACACTGTATGGCGTATGCCCGTCTTCATTAGCCCACTTCGGAGCAGAACAGTAGGACGTTAAACCCCATTTCATTTCATTTTATTTCCTACACATGATGTATATTTACATATATGTAATACTTCTTTTTAAATTCAGATGTTCAGATTTGATTTAGGGCATTAACTTACGCACAGTGCTGATTCCACAAACGCAATATCTAAATGTGGCATCTGACCGTTGTGCTCGTTATCTATATATTATAATACATGTATAGAAATAGGTAGAAAAATTGCTGAAAGAAATTATAATTCTGTCCAGTATTTATTATAATGCAATGATTTTTTTTGTATGGCTATGTAAGACATATAAACACATTTTAAAACTCTAACTTGAGAATAGGTAATTGTCTATAAACAATTACAATTTCATTCTCATGTTGACGTAAACTGTCGTCGCCCCTATCCGTCCGTCCGTTCACATTCTCATGTGGACGTATACTGTCGTCGCCCCTGGACACTCTGCAATTTTTATCCGATTTTAACGATACTTGCAATATAGGTTTATATCCCATAGATTTCGGCTCCTTTCGATATTGGCATATATCGGACCTTAACGTCATGGATTAAGGTCCCTGATTGTATGAAAAATCACATTTTTAGCTTGTGGACACTCTAGAGGTCACAATTTTTATGCGACATTGATGAAAGTTAAAATACATGTTTATATCTAAAAGATATCGTTAAACTCGATAATCGCGCATGTTGGACCATAACCTCCTGGATTATGGCTCCTGATGGTACCAAAAATCGCAATTTGGTTTGTGGATCTTCTAGAGTTCACATCTTTTATCCGATTTTAAAAAGCGTTCAAATTGATCTCCGTTACAGCCAAATGACAATCGAGTTCAAATTTCGTGAAAATCGGTCCGAAACTGCCTGAAATAATGACCGCTCCTCGTACGCAAATAGAGTAAAAGTATGTAATAGCATCGTTGTGGACACTTTAGATGTCACAATTTTTATCCGATTTTGATTAAAGTTAAAATGTATGTTTATATCCCAAAGATCTCGGTTACTTTCGATATTCACGTGAAAATCGGTCCGAAACTGCCGACAAAATGACCCTCTAGATGTTACAATTTTTGTCCGATTTTGATAAAACTTAAAATACATGTATATGTTTATATCCCAAAGATATCGGTTCCAGTTGATTTTTGCACATATCAGACCGTAACTTTGTGAATTTATAGCCCCTGGTTGTACGAAAAATTGCGTTTTTAGCTAGTGGACCCTCAAGAGGTCACAGTTTTTAATCAGATTTTAAAAACCATTCAAATATATCACCGTTATACCCAAATGATGGTACGCAAATAGTGTAAAAGTATGTAATACTAATTTTTATACGATTTTAAAATCCGAACCTTAACATCCTGTACCATGGCCTCTGATTGGACGAAAAATCGCCTTTTTACCTTGCAAAATAAGAGCGTATCTTGCATGGCAACCGCTTGTCTAACATTGCATTTATGGGCAATGCTAATGATAATATACTCTTCAAAAAAAGTAGGGGATATTCAGAAACAATACAAAACTGCGGAAATGCACTGCTGTTTTTATTAGAGGTAACCAGTGTATGTTAATAACAGGCCAACTTCCTATACAAGAACATAATCAGTTCATATGGGCGACTTATCTGACGGCCCCATTCACTCGCAAAGAGATACATTGTCAAAAGTGAAAATGGACGTTTTTGATTTTTGTCTTAATGATGAGTAATTGTTCCAATCACGATTTGGGGCAATCTGACCCACTCCTCTTGCAGTGCCACGGCCAATTCTTGCAGTGTTGTCGGATGACGTTGACGTTGACGTCGACGAACACGACTCCCGATCAAATTAAACGTAACACACTAAAGCAAAGATACGCTTATCAGTAAATCTTATGCAAGAACCGATAGGAAAGCAAACATGGATAGGATAAACCAGTAAGCAGCAGATTTCATCAACCCTTCCTTGATGTGTCAAATTTGACAATTAACCCCTCCCACGTGTATGGCGCTATTGCGTGTCGCACATTCAGCTCAGTGGTTGTGTTGGGGCGATAAGTTCTTCATCTCTGAACATACTCTCAAAGCATGTCAAGTGTCCATGACTATTTATCATATCACAACCTGGGTAGGTATTTGCATTATAACATCCCCTACTTTTTTGGAAGAGTATACTACAATGATTTGATACATGTGAGGACCAGTCGTTTAGTTCCATTTATTTTTAAGTAAATGCCTGTGATCCCGATTTTGACCTGGACTTCACCAAGAATGTAATTATTGATACTGCTAGTGGGGCCTGGATACAAAACATTGGTGGTGTCTCCATCAAGAATGAATACGCAACATTCAGTGGTCTGAACAGTCAGCGACTTACCGTAACCCGTTATTCAAACATCGATTTTGCTCTCCCACTGGCGATTAAAGTAAGATACCGAGAAACATCTGGTAGAGACAATATGGTCGTTTTGAGTACTGGTGGATGTATAGATCGCCCAGGATTGTATATCACAGTTGGAAATGGGAATGTTACACTTGGTATTGTAACTGAAGACGGCGGTTATACTGCACCTTTGAAAACCTCCGCTCCCACTGCAGTAAGTAGCGTAAAATTACATTACTCATTAAAACCACATAATATAGTCAAATGTGACATTGTATGGGACAGTTACAACCGTTTGTAACAATTAAAGATGCCGTTTGTGATTTGATGATATATTTGGACTAAAAACATATTTAGACTAATTTATTTATCAAAAGTTTTCTTAATAAACACTAAAACATAACATGGAACACAATTACTATTTTAATTAAAGCCACGTTTCGTTGAGGGTTCTCTCTTAATAAACACTAAAACATAATATGGAACACAATTACTATTTTAATTAAAGCGGCGTTTCGTTGAGGCTTCTCTCAACGTTTTCAAGCAAATGATAATGATTATGGTTGATTATGGTTAATTAGCTGTTACTTGTTTTTGTATATAAACCTTCTGTACATTATTTTCATTATAATTTGCCTGAAAACGTTGAGAGAACCCTCAACGAAACGCCGCTTTAATTAAAATAGGAATTATGTTCCATATTATGTTTTAGTGTCTATTACTTATGTCAGTTGCTAAATGTCGCTCAAAGAAGAAAAGTTTGCTTCAAGAAAACTTGATTGAGGGAAAACCCATTGTCAGCTGGAATATCCTCTTCCAACTTCTTTTTCTGTTGTTGTATCGCAATCTAGTGGACGTTTAATTCTCTTAATGTTCTCACAACCGTTAACCATTAGATCAAAACAAAAGACTCGCCCCTTACGTCACTGGAAGAGAAGGCAGTTGTTAAGGGGTACCCTCATTTTTGTCATGTGTGCGTCCCATGGTGTTTGTGTGGGAATCCAGTGTCTGTCAGTTCGATATGATGTGTGCGAGTTAGTTGTATTTTACGTCCGCTTCCACCGAGGTGATATCGCAGACAAAAAGCCCATTTATACCAAAATTGCCTTACTTTTAATAAAAATTATTACCCGAAAAATATTTTCATGAGAAAGTATCTTCGAGTGAACGCCGTCATATTCGTAGTAGTTTTAACACGCGTTATAGGCTGTTTTTTTTCAAATAAAATCTAATTATTCTCGCGAAACCAAAAACATTATTTTTTTATATATCTGTAGGGTATTAACCAATGGAAAGAAGTTGTATTATATTTTGATGGTTGGAGTCTATCGGGTGTTGTACGAAATATGGATTCCAATGGAGTAAATGTTGTTGGTTCATCAATCCGTATCCCTAAAACTGTTCCTTCAAGTGCAACTCAAAGTAAGTTTCTGTGAAATAGATAGTGGACTATTAAAGCAGGTTTCATTTAATAATGTTCAGTCTAGTCTAGTAGCTATTATTCCTTATATCATCATAGAATTATAAATACTTTTCATTACCTCTGTTATTGTTTATGCTCTGTGTATTATTAACACCTTTACATTTATTTATTCATATATTGTATTTTTTATTTTATTCATATATTGTATTTTTTATAAGTTAAGAGGGGTGTCCCAAACGTTTCCGCCTTCCCTAAGTAATATGCGGTCTATATGAAAATTGTTATACTTATTTTTCAACGTATCCCCAACTGGCATCAATGCACTCGCTATACCGCTTCCCCAGCATATTTAACCGGTCAGAGACCCACTATTTGTCACATGACCCTAAAACTGCCGGAGTAACAATATAGCCTAAGAAAGAATCCGTAGCTCTCCGATACCCACCACGCTCTAGCGTTTATGTTCTCCAGTCAACATTCTGGGCACCCAATGGACAGACACTTTGTTTATGCGCATATGGCTATTATTCATTCTCCTGATGGTGTGCTAATGCCATGTGCAGTAGCTATAAAGGTCTAACAGTTATTCATAGTTACTCGTCTGTCCTGTATTGTTGTGTCGAGAACAGCTTCAACTTTATCGTGGATGGTTATGGTCACTTCACAAAAGCGACCAAACCGTGGTTCGTCTTAATTTACCGATTGTACGAAGGAGCATTGCCAACTAATGTTTGTGTTTATGTCATCACGAATTTGCTTCAGCGTAAGCCTTTTCAAGTGAAGATACTTGATCGTGACTCTGCATCTGTTTTTTTTCCATTTTGAGAACAAACGAGAGGGTCATGCTGTTTGACAGCTATATATGGGAAATTATAGCACGTGGAATTTATGTTTTGCATATGAGGAAGCTGAGATACTTTTCTAGAAACAAGAGCAGATTGGTTGAGTTTGGGCGATCCGTTCATGGTGAGCCCAGAAACCTTTGGGACACCCTCGTATGTAACATTAAGCTATAAACTTGCTCGCTGACGATTTTCAAAACACACAATGTATAGATGCTTACCTTCCTGTACCGCCTTCCTTAGCCCAGTCAGCCCAAGAACGCATGACATTAAACTGCATGTCGTTTCATTTTTATCTTCCAGGAATAAAAACTGTCGATGGCGCTTTTCAACTGGGATACGCCCACGACACTACTTTATCTGGATTTGTCGGGGATATTGATAACGTAAGTAAATTGTGAAAAATTATATATATCCAAAAATATTAGCACAACCGTAAAGCTGCACAGTATACGATGAAAACATAATTTCCACACTTGTTTATTAACATTTTAACATTTGAAAGTACTTTTCGTCCGTCTTGGAACTATTGATAAATAATGTCATTGCATGGAGATGGACACCATACTATAGAGAGAGAGAGAGAAGGGGTTTAACGTCCACTCGACACAAACTAGGTCATTTCGGGACTAACACACCATACTATAATTTATACATATTTACATAGTAACACTATGGTTTTAATTGTCTATAGTTACCATTGCCTTACACGCGTGTTAATCTATTGTGCATGGGTACAATTTAAGAATAATGAGTGGAACGAAATCTAGGGATAAAAATTAATTAAATTAATGGCTACTTATTGTTTTCCATTATTTTTCTTTCCGTCATGTCATCGGGAAAATTTGAAATGTTGCTTGTAGGTGTTGTGCACATCTAAAGATATGTCTATTTATAAATAAGGGTCCATTTTCAAGGTTACAATCCCGACAATGTTTGCGTACTCTATCCCGTAGAATAATAGTGCCCGTCTCGCCGATGTATAATTTTCGACAACCATTACAAGTTTTTTCACACTTTACTATTTTTAGGTCCAGCTCTGGAAAGGATGCCTCAAAGTGAACAACCCCGAGGATTTTTAAATGTTAAAAACACCCCAAGTGTTAAACCTGTTTGAATTTGGAATTTAGAAAACTATACAGTCTATACCGTTTTTTAAAATATACCAAACACGTTTGCTAATGCTGTTACCCGATAACACAAATAAGGGGAAATAATCCCAGAATGAATAAAAATAAAGAATATTGCATGAGTTATGTTGGTATATTTCTTTCTCTTGGAAGTTATGATAGGTATAGAATCACAGGACGGGACTCAAGAATAAGATACCCGACATTAACCACCAACAACCTTTGAGTTCGATTCCAGTCTATAAGGTGTATATGTCTAGCTGTTTCGATGTGAGGGAAACACGATGGACCTTTTGCATAAAATAATGTTTTACATTTGATGAGCACGATGTCCTGACTAAATACTCACTCATACCCCCACCCTCCCCTCCAACACCCCGCTCCTATATTGAATAATAAAACGTCAACCTTTATTCGAAGGATTACTTATTATGGCGCTAACATTTCAAAGGGGTTGGGTAGCTGTAGAAAATTAGATCTTTTATATGCAAGTTGTGGGTACGGTCTCAGGTTTGTAGTTATACCGATTCCAAACACTAATTTATATTTTGTCTTGAACATGTCAATGTCACAATTGAGTCTATGAGCCGCGTTTTAAGAAAAATATACACGTCCAACAACTGACTAAATCAACCAAACAAAATAATGCTGTTTGTGGGTATTTAAATAACGAAAGATAACAAATTAAAAATAATTATAAAATTTCAAGCTTTACGTATGAAAAATAACAGTTTGGATTTCTGCACATTACAGAACGCTATTTACCCCAGATTTTGCCAAAGATTGGGCCGGGGGAAGAATAATACATATCTAGAGAGCAGATGCTGATCCATTAAAAGTTGACTCTTCTAGAGATTGAAATGCTTCTACAAATAAATGTACATACATGAATATGACATTGAAAATATATTGATACGCTTGCTCATGAAAATGTATGTCTCGTCAAGTTCCTAGAAAGCAAAAGGGTTTGTCTCTACAGGAATAGTCGAGATTTTACAACATACATTAAAACAACCAATCGTGAATATGCGTACGGCAGAGCTTTTCATTTAACAAAAACAACAAAGGTGGCACCCCGCAAATCATGGGTATTATGTGGCTTTGGCGAAACCGAAATCGAACGAACTACAATACAGAATACACTTCATTTAGAACCGATTTGCTCCCAAGAATTCTTTGTTATGGTCCATGTAAGATTTAGACCAAATTAGCAATTTTCAATCATACTTGGTCTATGGGGACCCCTAGGTGACAGAAGTCATACGATGCAGTGCACATTTTTGAAATGACAACTTCCCGTATAACTGGGAATTGTTGTTTTTGGTCAAAAGTTGCCATATTTCGACCAATTTTTTACCCTAATTTCAAAACGCCCCTACTCGAAAAGTTGTGCCCCTAAAATTTTGATATGGGTCAGGTGTGATAGGTCAAGCGTTCGATTTAAAATCCTTCAGTCGTTTGGGAATGGATGAATCATGTTGAATTTCCTGTGAGTTATTTTAAAGTGGTCATTGTACATAATTAGGTTGAAAATTATGTCATCGTAAAATGTGTGTAGCTGCTTCTTAGTGGGTCTGACATAGAATTGCTTGGTGTGGTTATGAAGGGCATTCGTCCAAATATATGTCAGAAGAAATAATCACCGGCACTAAACCCACTAGTGTGCTACAGTATTCTGAAAATATGTAAAAATCAGTATTTTCCGTGCGATTCTTCGTTTACTGATGACCGACGACTATCTTCAAAAAGTTGCCATGACCATGGATTATCAACATTAGTACTATATTTTGTTATTTGAGCGTTTTTGTGACAAATCTGTTATTTTGGTTAAAAAATCATAAAAGTTTTTGTGACAAAATCGGAAAATCACGATCATCGAGGTGAAGAGGCGTAACTGGTGTATAATTTTGCTGAATCAAACAACAATTATTCTTATATGTATTTAGTAATTAGTAGCAGGGAAGTGTATAATTGTGTGGGCTGACATGACAAGCTGCTATATCAGCACAATCTAACCAAAGCAGCGCTTTTTCACCAATGACCAACAATTATTTTCTAATGACCACTGATCATTACTATTGCTACTATATGTTTCGTTATTTGAACATGTCTGTCAAATAGAGTATTTTGGTCAAATAGGATAATGTTTTTGTGACAAAATCGGACTTTCACCCTCACTGGATAGCCAAAGGAAAGGATAATAAGTCGTGTATAATTTTGCAGTGATCAGAACGCGGTTATTATGATCTGTATTTAGAAGCAGATGATCGTATAAATGTATGGGCTGCTATGACTATCATAAACTTAATATATCTATTATCCACATTCTCGTGTAAGAAGAAGAACAAGAAAAAGTATTTACAGGTGTTCATGGAGTGACATTTAATATCTTTAGGACACCGTCAGTCCTTCCATATGGAAATCCTGAAGGGGAAGATGGCATAGATCACAACATGATTTATGGCACTCCAGACAATCCAGGATAATTCTGACTACACATGCCAACCTCCGAAATATGATACTCAGCGGTCATTTAAAGATAGTCGATATTGAACAGACGCACCCGTCGAACAATGCCATACTCAACATCTCTATATATGTGTACATATGCAATTCGAAAATTCCACTCATTGTTAATTTAAAGGATATAATGGTAATCAATTTTGCCCTTGCAGATCTTGTGATTATGGCTCAATTTCGCTGGATCGTCTACAATCCCCGCGTCCTTCAAACCTGTTACATGACTTATTATATAAAGAAGTCGGTATTTTGTCTCTAAAACAACGTCGTGAAAGACATAAGTTGATGTTTTTATATAAAATAATAAACCACTTACCCCCTGATTACCTGTATGATAATCTAAACAAAAAACAAAGTAACTACTCATTAAGAAATGACAAAAACCTACCATACTATTTTTGTAAAACTAATCTATTTTATAATTCTTTCTTTCCTTCAACTACACGACTTTCGAACAATCTAGATCTTTCTATACGTAATTCAGATACGTTATTCATTTTTAAACAAAAACTTTCAAAACA